CTCCCCATTTATATCCTGGGTAATAAATCAAAGCAACATGAAGTCTCGTGCACAGAACTGAAGTGGTTTCTTAAAGCAAATTTGGCAGGAAATAAGTCATCATCTTAAAAAGCCAGTCAACTCCTCATATCCAGTATATCACCAGCTCTCTGCTAAAATCTGCAAACAGGCACGAAAAGTCTTTTCGTAAAAGAGAGAAGTCTGTGAGATAGGCCATATGACTGTTATCAAAATCACACATATTTTTGTCAGAAAAATCACCCCATGAGTTCCCTTTGACTCACGGGTTTGCAGTGCTCAGGTACTCGAATATCACAAGGGCCATTAGTTTGGCTTCCTACAAAAATAAGGTCATGTTGGTATCACATCTTCCCTCTGTGCTTTTCCTCTTTCTTCTTGCCTCCTCAACTGATGTTGTTATTTTTCTCTTAAGTTTCTTTTTTCCAACGTTCCTTTCTAGTTTCTATTTCTATCGTGCAAACATGCCATGGCAAAGCGATGTAAGCAATGCATAATATATTTAGAGTAATGTATGATTCATTTACTAGCTTTCATAATTAATGTGGCTGTGTTTTACATACACAGTATTTCCTGCATGCATTTTATGATGTGAACACTCTTCAAAATCTAATAAAATGTAATCCGTTAAAAACAATAGTACTAGTCCTGTGATGAGATTTGTGTGCAGTTTTGAGGCAGCTGCAGAAAGAACTTGGTGCCAAGTTTCTATTCTAAACACCAATTTTAGCTGCTGTTTTATGCAGCTCCTAATTCTCAAGGTGGAAATTATTATAATTATATATATTATTATAATGATACCACAGTTGGTCTGGGTATCATCTGCTTCCATACCCTGAAAACTCTCCAACCCAAATAATTTTTCTATGTGCTCTCTGGAGTTCAATAACAAACACAAAATGATGCTGAATTTATGAAGAAACCTATAAGAACTATACAGCAGCATCTGTAAAATATCAACTAAATAATACCAACATCTGTACCTCCAAAAAATTCATTCTTGCCTGGGGTTTGGTGAAGCTGTGAGCACACACTGCCTTGTCCTCTGGACCCTGTTTCCAAAGATATTTATACATCTAATTGCCATCAACATCAGCAAGAGTTGGGAACTGTTGGTGAGCTCAGGTCAGGCACTTTCTTTACACATTATTCTCTTCCTAGTTAGGACTTGAGGACCCCATGATTTTGCACCCCATGGAGAAGAAAGCCAACATAGCCATTTGTGTGCTGTTCCTTGACACTGTTCCAGGCAGATGGATTTGGGAGCATTTAGTTTCCTATCTTTGCTCTAAAAATGTGTGTAAAATAATTTCCAACAACAAAATCTACACTTACAAACAAAGCAATCTAAGAAGAATACACTGAAAATTCAAAATTGATATTAAAAATGGATGTAATTTCCAGTGTAAAGCTAGAAATCCTGTTTCCATCTCTCCAGCTACCACACTGATATTTTGCCTGCTTTCCTCCAGCTGAATCCTCATTAAAGCCAACGGACAAAAATCATCGCAGCTCGATGGCAGTGTGGGGTTGGGGGTTTAATTTTTGCCTGGGCTCTGAGCCCCAGGTTGGGTGAGGGCAACCGAGTGAGCCCTGTGCTGCTGGTAAGTCACCACACCTGAACAGCAACTCCCTGCTGCCAGCAGGTGAGGAGCATCAGTGGCTTGAGTACCTTAAGCCTGGCCTTGGGACTTATGGGAGTGGTTATGGGACTTGCAGAGGCTGGTAGTGTGTAGTAGGGAAATGCAGTGTTTTTTGAATGCTGCTGGTTGGAACAGCAAGGGGACAGCTGAACCTCCTTCACAGCTCCACGCCACTGGCTTCGCTGGACTCACATCAGGCTTTCTCTGAGGTATGTGACATGCAGATTTTCAAAGGTACTTAAGCTCTGCTTTTGGGCTTTTCTGTGTTGCTCCTGGTGGATGGTTCCCTGCTGTGGCAGCTGCCTGTGCTGCATGGGCAGCTTTGGTGTTTCTCCCTGAGTGGGATTTGTGCAAACCTACAGGTGACTTGTGCAGTGGCTGGCGCTGCTTCCGGATGGGAAATATGTGTTCTTGGGAATGGCACTTGGCAGGGAATGCTGCTGTGCTGGGAGCCACCTCCCTTCCCCAGTGTGACACTAGAGGAAAGGTGGAACACTTTTCATGTGGAAAAAGGAGCTAAAGACTCTAAGGCCTCAAATCCTACCTTTTAGATAAATCAATACTGCTGTTACTGTTGGGAAACAAAATCCGGTGCTGCAGCAGCACAAGTCTGAAGCGCTGTATCCCTGTCTAGGGTGAGCCTCCTGCTCCTTGTGTCATCTCTTGGGCTGGGGGGTGACACCCACCCCAGTGCACTCAGCCTCTCATTTGGCCACCTCTTGCCCTGCCGGCTGCAGGGGGGTGTCGTGGCAGTGGCAAGGGACACCTGCACTGTGCCCTCCTGGGAGGAAGCTGATAAAACTGGTCATTTCTAATGCTTTCCAGTTCTGATTTCTGGAGCTGGATTTTTTTCTCCCCTTTGCATTTGAGGAGGTTTATTTTAGTGTTGTGTGTACTGCTTGGATCTTTGGGCTGGAGCCTAGCTTTTATTTTTTTGCCACATCTTGGGTCAGTTTTGTGTGCATATTTTTACTGAGCTGGAATGATTTGTGCCTGTTGGCCTTAATGAAGATTCAGCTGGACAAAAGCAGGCAAAATATCAGGCTGGTATCTGGAAACGGAATTTCTAGCTTTACAGTGGAAATTATATCTATTTTTTGTATCAATTTTGAACTTTTAGTTTGGGTTTGGGGTGGTTTTTTCGTTGTTTTCTTCTTTATTTCTGCTAAATTTCTTCTTTTATTTCTGCTAAATTCATTACTTAGAGAAGAAAAGCCATGTAAATATATCCTTTTAAAGATTCAAGAAATGTGAAGCTATGGAGGGGGAAGGGATCAAGCAGCAGTACTATTTTGAATCACCAATATTTGAAAACTGTGTTTTAAGTGAATTTTTTTGATATTTGTGACCTGGTAATGACTTCCACCTCTGGGAGGCTTGTGCAGGTGATGTTAAAGCTTTCCTGGCACCTGCACCTGTACCTGTTTTGCTGCAATCCCAGCAGGTGCTTCTGCCACAGGGTCCTTTCTCCTTCTGCCCACAAAGCTACAGCAGGGGTGGGGGGGGAGGCTGTTCCCCCCGCAGGCAAAGCCTCTCTGTCATACCTGTGCAGAGCCCCTGGGGGTGGCAATAGTGGCAATATTTCTGACTCAAGGCTTGTGACAATGGGAGCTGCACTGTGGCTTATGCTGGTACACGAGAGGGGCTTGGCCTCGGTGTGGGGAGCTGCCCCTCAGCCCTCGCCTGCCAAGTGCCACATCTCTCTCCAGACTCAGGGCCTCTCACGTCCTAAATGGGTGAGAACCTCCCAGGACACGTGCCTACCCAGGTGGCCTCCTGTCCCCAACAAGTGACCTCCAGCTGGGAGGTCTCTGCCCCTGCAGCCACCTCCTCTCAGCATGGTCCCTACCCAAGCTCCCAGAGGGCACCGGCTCCAATTCTGCCTTCTGGCAGTTGGGTGAAGGGGCAGAAAGTCCCCTTTTGGGGGAGGTTTAGGGAGGGAGGAACAGCGATAGTCTGCCAGGAATGCAACAGCAGCACACGTGCATGGTCCCATCGCGTGACCTGACACTGCGGCCAGAAGGGCTGAGGCGTGATCAATGCGTCGGTTTTGAGACGGGTCAAAGACACAAGTTTTGGGGGGAAATGGAGAAATGCAGGACAAATACTGGACCTGGGAGACCTGTCCTCTGCCTGATGTGGAGGAAAACTCCCAGAGGCATTCAAAGGAAACGGCTAATTACTGCTCGTGTGGAGCGGGGGACACCACACGATGGGTGAGGCTTGGAAGCTGCAGCCCCCTTTGCGGGGTGAGGAAGAGCAGAGAGGGGCAGGGGGCTGGGGCACCGCCGGCAGCACCCCCTGCTCGCCCCCCACCTCCACCAAGTGCCGTGCCGGGGGTCCTGGGGTGGGGTGACTCTGGGGCTGTGGGGTGCTCCGGCCACGCTGCGGGGGAGCGGGATGGGCGCAGGGGCTTTCAGAGGGCGCGGAGCGACAGCGGGGATGCCCGAGCGCTTCTTCCTGTAGGGAAAATGGGGCGAGCACGGGGTGATTCCCAGCATCCGAAGTGCCAGGTATTGAAAGGATATAAAATATACATATTTAATTCCCCCCCCCCGCACCGGTAAGCCCCTGGTTCATTTGCACCTATAATTCTCGTTTCAGGGCGGCTGCGATGCAGCAGCCGCTGCCACCTCTGAGTTAAACGAGAAATAAAATAGAAATAAATGCCCACATCTGTCCCTTTTTTAAGGCAGACGACAAAATATTTTCGTGTCTTCCGGTCCGACCAGATTCACACAAAGACCGTGGGGAAACCCCAAAGTCTAGGGGAAACTTGCAGCTCTCTCCCGCAAACGAGGGGTGCGAAATCTTGTGAGATAAAATTATGGAGCAAAGTGGAGGATCTCTGTAAACAGGTTGAGCATCGAGAGCCTTTGTGCCCAGCTCGCCTTGGAAGGCAGAGGGGCGTCGGGGATGCCCGTCCCTCCCAGCTCCCCTTTCTGTGGTCTCTGACATGGTCACATCAAAGGACCTGCCGGAGAGATCTGTGCACAACCGAGTCACCGAAATTTGCGCCTGGGAATAGATACAAAACCAGACGATACTGATATATTTGAACGGCGAAATATTGGGTGTATCTATATATGCGCGATGCCAGAGGTTTGCACAGTTTGTCTGGAAACGCCTGGAGTTGGAGGCGGAGGAAAGGGAGGGGGGGTTTAATAAAAACCATTTGCCACTTGTCTTCAATTAGGGTCTAGAAATGTAACAAAAATAAGGAATGCCTATTTTTTTTAATCACTTGCTGTCGGGAACAAGAGGTAAACGCGGCTCCCCTGTAACGATTGCGGGGTTTCGTGTAGAAGGGAGAGAAGAAATGCAGGCGGTATTGTCGCGATGCAGGTCGGCGTGGCTCGTGTCCCGGCACACACCTCGCCGTGTTCTGCTGCTTCTCCTCCCGGAGCCGGACCCCCGACGGGCCGCGGGACCCCCGCGGGGCTCAGGAGCGGCGAGACGGGGAGATCCGGCTCCGGGGGCCTGGGGGCTTTGCAGCGCGGCTCCCCTGAATCGGGCGTGAGAAGGTGGGCACGTTACAAGGTGGGGTGTCCTCATTTTTTTCCCCAGTGCTAGCGGGGTAACCCCAAACCGCCGCGGCTTCTCCCTCTCCGGGGTGGGCAGCCACGGAACATCCTGTCACCCTGTCCCAGGCAGGTGATGGGCACCTTGGAAGCCAATACCACCGCCCGCGCCCCGATATTCCCCTCATCTTCGTGTCCATGACAAATAGAGGCAACGTGAGACAGGAAAGAGGGAGGAGGGAGAGAAAGACACGCACACAATAGCCAGGCAAATTGTTAGCAACTCCGGCGTTTGGGGAAGCCGGTACTGTAACTGCGCTCTCATCAGTCACCGCTCCTGAAGTGATAGTAAAAATGCATCTAAACATGCTGCGGTGTGATATATAAAAGCACAGCGGGATGAGCTGCTTTCCAAAAAGGGACCTGGTGATTGGATATGCCTTGGCATGATTGACAAGAGCTTAGTTTGGTAAAGAGAAGACACGCAAGCTTTCACAGCGGGATTTCTTTTCTAAAATATATCACACTAGCCTTTGAAAAGCGCCGCACACTATAAGGGAAATAAGGTTGCTTTATAGTGCGCTGACATTTCTTTAAAACACAACTAAGATCAAAAAAAGAAATAAAATGTGTTCCAAACACAATGTTTTAATTAGTTTATTCTGTGCATTTGCTTTTATCTGGTGTATATATCACGGATCCCCACCCTTTAATTAAAACAACTGGCTGCCTATACAACAGCAGAGACAAATGCTTAACTTTCTCCTTTGTAGCTACAAGCAAACTCAATTTACTACGGCTTTCAGAAGAGTTTTTAAAATAAACGTGGATGCCTTGAAAGCTATCGGGGAATGGGCGAAGGTAGCGGGAAATGGCTGTTTCCTGGCTTTGGAAACTTGAGAGGATGTGGAGTCCCGCGGGCAACCCTGCCCGCAGCCCTGCCCGCAGCGCTCACCCGCTGGCCCTGCGGGCTCACAACCCCACCGAGGGAATTGAAACGCAACGAAGGCACAGAGCTGCCTTCATCTCGGAGCCGCAGCTGAAGGGCTGCGATGAGGCTTTGCGTTTGCTTGGTTGCCTTTTGGATTTCTTTTGGTTTCTCTCTCTTGCTCTCTCTCTTATTTTTCCTTTTTATTTTTTTTTTTTAATTTTAATTTTGGTGTGGTCCTCATCGAAAACTAGCTTGCCGCAAGCTCTCTTCCCCTGGCACTGCCCGCTCCGGGGTTGATCACTTGAGGTAGCTTTTCCACCGCCGTCTCCCCCGCCTTTGCCCGACAAGGTTCTCGTTATGGAACTGATCCTCCGGGTAGAGGAATGAAGGTCCTTTAAAAGGCACCGACTCTTTCACCCCGTGGCAAGCACATCGTTTACAGGCGTGTTAATCGTACCGCCGCTGTTCCCCGCGCCCGGGGTGCGCTCCCTGCGCGCCCGCGTTCCGCAGCGCGGGGCCTGGGGATGTTCGATAGCAAAAATAGAGAAGTGAGGGTGAGACCCACCAGGGGTCGTCTACTGGCCCGAAATGTGGGGATCTAGGCAGCAAGAGGGGAGCTGGCTCTCCCCGAAGCCCCGCAGTCACAGGCAGGGGATGAAGCACCCTGGTGCCAATCCGGACGCGGGCATGGGGAACATCTGGGCAGAAGCCTTCGCCCCCCCTCCCCGCAGCTGTGATTCACCGCTTTGGCCCCAAAGCTTCGAGCGGGTTTTACTGGAGAAAGGAACTCCCATTGCGGGGCTGTTTAACCCGGG